GTAAATAGGCTTCATTGCGTCGCTTCCAATGGAAAAAATCAAGTGGACCAGTAACTCTGCTTAGTTATCTAGTTCGCTTGGGCAGCGTGTTATCCTGCCCAACTTGCCACTCTCAAGCTGATGGATGCATTATCCAAACTAACGTTCGTTCATGCATGCGGTCAGCTGGTCTAGTTTTAGCTTTCGAGTGTCATACCTTTCAAACGCGGGGCAGGGCCAACCATCCGTTGGACAAAGTCCAACGAGGGGGTCGTATTTGGACCAACCGAAGGGGGTCGTATTCGCGAAGGTCAACGTCGCAATACATAGGTGAGAGGCATACATAACTTTCGAGTGCTTCTCCAGCAGGTCACCGCAAGCAGGAATGGCGCATCTTAGAGTAGAAAAGTTCTGTAGAAGTGTCCATATTTGACTGTTTACGTACACTAAGATGCTCTCGCGGAGAAACAATGTCTTCAGACTGTGTCTATGTTAGTTAAAGAGTGACCACTTTTGTAGAAACCGCTAAAGGCTTACAAGAAAAGTTTGGGAAAAAAAAACTTGCTTGTCGGGGATTTCTTGAAAAGTGTTCAGTATATTTCATGAAGCACGAAGCTTGTGCGATGTCACGGTATCATTATTCCCTATCGAATTGAGTTTGAAGAGAGCTGCGAGTGTTTGAGTGTTGCAAACTCTCGTTTTCAGGAGAGCGCCTCCGAAAATGCATGAAAAAAAAACGGTCCAACGGGTCGATTTTTCGAACGGGACCATTTGGAAATGAGATCAAGTAGTCGTTGGAAAGCGCTAATCTTCTGCTTTCTTTCAGGGGGACAAGAATTGCAAAAAGTTGAATTCGAATAAAGTTATAACAGTTCAAAGCCAAAAAACCAGCGCTCTGCGAAAAATCGCTCCGCGATTTCCCCAAAACGGTCCAACGGGGCGATTTTTTGACTACATCACTTTTGAGAAGAGCTAAAATATTCGCTAGAAACCTCAAACCTTCTAGTTTATCCCAGGGGGACAGTGATCGCTAAAGACTCGTTCTGGAGAAAGTTATAATTATTAGAAGCCAAAAAACCCAGTTCTGGAGAAAAACGGTCCAACGGGGCGATTTTCCGTACACAAGAGACTTTGCAAAAGCTGAAGTGCTTTTCAGAAAGACAACAATCTGCACTTTCAGAATTTTCATACCACTCCTCTCACTTTCATGTATGAAGAAAATTACAACCTTTCAAACGAGGAAGTGCGCATTTCTGTGAACTTGTGTTTCTCTATCCCATAACTAACACAGTTTTGAAGATACTGCACAAACATGGTAGCTTTCTGAAACTAGTGGGTCGTAGATTACAAACTTCTTAGTGTTCTGAAGAATATTAACGTTGAACAGAAATACACTTAATCGAAAATTAGTAGTCAGCCTCAATCTATCCGGCGCTCGGCTGAGGGGAAGATTGCGCGCGCCAATGCGAACCCGATGCTGCCGCGCTCAATCTGCTGTAACGCTCGATGTTGTAGTACGCAAACATACACAAATACCAATGTACAATACATATTAAATGTTTGGGGGGGGGGGTGGGGTCGTATCGAGACTCGCTAAAAGGAGGGGGTCGTAAATTTTCCGAATTCGATCCAACGTGACGGTTGATACTGCGCGGGGGGTGTTAGGATCCAAAAGGTGGATGAGAACTTGGAAGAACGAAAGGATCTCTATACAGCCATCGACCCTGCTATTCCTTTGTTTGCTAAAAAGGCTCTGCCTCTCCCAAATGTAAAACTTCACTCTTGTTCCTTTCCAGCAATAACCCTTTGACGACAATGCAGTTTTGCACGCAGCGGGCTCATGGGTACATGCCTCTTTTTGGCGTGTCCAAATCTTGCTCAACATTAGGTAAAATTGTCCTTGAAGGCATCTTCTCTATCGAATTACTGACTTTTGCATTACACCGATCATAGCCGCAGTTTTAATCTTTATAATCATACTTTGTTGGGAAGGGAATGAGGAATTTGTAAAGGTGAATCGGATTCCAAAGGGATGGTGGGTAAAAGTTCTAGAAGTTTATGTGTACACTCGAATTTTTGCTACAGTTTAACCCCCTCCATGTGTCTGAAGACTATGAAAAGCTGAAGAACTACTGATTAGTAATTAAACTTTAGTCTAATAATGTAAAACCCCAATTAATATGTTGGCGAGTGATGTGCCCCATTCTAAAATTTTATGTGATGTATGTTTGGATCTGCATCAGGATCCATTATATCGCACATGCCTTGAACTGCTTAGATTTACATTTATTAGACAACAACAATTAAACAGAGTGACAAGAGAATGCGATCCGGATGACCTTATTATTTGTCTCATGGCCAATCTTGTTCTTGTGGTTTGTCTCGGTTATTGAGGTCGTCATCGTAGTCGTTGATCGTCTCGTTGAGCTTTCTCTCTGCCCCTCGGCATCATTAGCCCGGCTCTTATATGCGGGCTTTATCTGACAGAAAATCAGCGAGTTAGAAATCCTCAGCTATCTTAAAATCACACCGATTATCCATCATGAACAGAGTTCAGAATACCCCCGACTTGACAAAATCGTTGGAGTATCGTTTATTGTTTATGCTCGAATCATCGAATGATGTGGTTTCGCTGTATTTGTCAAAAAATTGCCAGACGACCAGTGAACAGCAGCATCGAGACAAAAGAAAATGATCACATAGTCGGGCTTGGCGTCGGCTTCTTTATCGAAGTAGCGTGTGGTGTGGTGGATGATGGCGGGCGCGTTGTCGTGGAGCTTCCAGGGTCGTTGGTTGTGGTTTGGAGTCGTCGTCGTCGAGTTTGTGCGATTGTGAGAGGAGCAGGTGCGGTGGACCAAGAAGGAAACCAATTGATGAAGACTGACTCAGTGATTGACCGGTCAATTTCTCTTTCGCCTTCTTTTGCTTTTCGTTTTTTGTTCTTTCTTCTTTTCTTTTTCTTTTTTTTCTTTTTTTTGTAGTCCGGCTGTCAAGACATGGTTAACACGAAGGTCGTCTAATCATTTATTGTGTCGTATTCATTCGTAAGTACATTATAAGTTGCATTCGTAGATACATCAAATGCCATATGTACGTGTAACAAACAATTCTACATCAGCACATAATTGCACTGATATTCGCGTACGCGCCTCGTTTTGTGCTCGTTATTCGTAAGGTGAAGCTTGTCGCCAATTACGCGTTGTAATTGTTTTACATGCGGAACTCGTATGGGCAGAATGCGCTATTGTGGCGGTTAGCTCTAGTGGTAAGTCGCGGTTGCTGTGCCTGCCGTAAAAGCACAACGTGCGCATGTTACACAACGTGACCGGATGAGCGGCCTCCAGGAGGCATCGTTCGCAACTATTTCTTGTTCTGCATTGTTGCGCGCGCTTATTGTTACTGTTGGGGCATTGCGATGCCCAATGATCTTGGCAAAACGCGCAATAGTTCATGACTTGACGGTCTTGCTGTGGTGCTCGGGCTTGTTGTTGTTGTATTGTTGCTGGTGAAACCGAAGTAAGTGTTGTCTTTCTTCTTCCTCTTGGCGTCGTCGTTCTTGTTGCTTGCTGACGCTCTTCTTCTTCCCTGCGTCGTCGTTCCTCGTCTTCGAGTCGTCGTTGTTCTTCTTCGCGTTCGCGTTGGTCGTTGAGTTCCTCTTCCCGCTGGCAGTTCTCGACAATTGCGGCGATACTGTGGGTGGTTCGTTCCACCGATGATATCGCTCGTTGATGCTTTGGAAAATTATCTGAAATTGAACTATTTATTGCGTCAACTAGGAAAATCCCGGTTAAGACTACCTTTATTTCGGATTTAGATCTTTTCTCTTGAGACTCCCAATCTCCCGAAGTGCGCTTGTATTTTCGCTTCTTAAAATAAGAAAAGACGATTTTTTTCCTAATGGGGCTACAAAATATGATATAATGGTATGTTTGCTTTGTATAGCATAATGAAAGTGCTTATCGTGTTTTCGTTCATGAGTCTTGTCAGGGTACGAATCTCGTGTTTAATTGACGTGATCTGTGCTTCAACAGAATTGGCCGGAGCGGGAGCGTTGTCTTGGTTGTTCACTGCGTTCCCCTCTGCGACATGTTGGACTTCTTCATCATCGTCCTCCTCGTCCCGCTCGTGTTGAAGCTCTTGATCGTCGTCGCCGTCGTCCATGAGTTCGGGTGGCTGCTCGCTGGGCGCCATGTTCTGAAATTTTTTGTTTAAAAGGGCATGATACTGTGGCTACTAGGTTGAAGCATTATTTTACTGCTGGGGAACGAAGGGTGAGGTATGCGTGCACCACCCTGGTAGGCCGTAAATTGAGGGGGGAAAGCACATGACGCAGACTTGAAGAGGTGCAAGAATGGTAGAGGTCGAGGTATAGCCTAGAGCAGCTGTGGTGGCTAGTGGTTGTGATGAAGTCGTTGAGGAGACTGTTGGAGAATGTTACCCTTTCCTTGTCTGTTTGTTTTTGATCGTCTGTGTGATAAGCTGCGTGCAAGCTGAGGTTTGAATTCCATCTCTGAATACAGTAATGAATATGTGTATGACGCTTGTGTTATTGTAATGTTTCATTGTGATCGTTTGTTGAGCCTGGTTCACTTGATAAACGTAGAAAGTATTCGTAAAGGTATGCGAAGGAAAACCGGATTGTGCGAATTATCTGTTCAAATACATGAATAAAGATTTTGATTATCAATATGGGAGCTAATGCCGTTGGGGTCGTGATGTTCATTTTGATGTCGGTTGATCTAGTGTTTGTCAAGTAAAAAAGTGTAAGAATTGTCGCACTCGAAACTATTAGGCCGATAGCTAAGGTGTAGAATAGATATCCTTCGCATGTGTTAATGAAGTGCCCTATATCAGGAAGGTGGAATTCAATATCAAAGGGATCAGTAGCGGTTGAAATATTCGTTCTTAAAGCCATATATTTGATCAGGGATTTTATTCCGTTGACGTAGTGTAGAGATCCGATAAGTTCAAATATCGTTGAGGTTGTCCCACATCGTGCGGAACACTGTTCCTGCATCGTAGTATCAGTGGTTCAAGGGCAGAATGCTCGCCTGCCACGCGGGCGGCTAGGGTTCGATTCCCGGCCGATGCACCATGTTTGGATCTGCATCAGGATCCAACATATAGTACATCCCTCGAACTGCTCAGATTTACATTTATTAGACAACAACAATTAAACAGAGTGACAAGAGAATACGATCCGGATGACCTCATTATTTGTCCTACCGTCCAATCTTGTTCTTGTGGTCTGTCCCCTTATTGATCGTTTGCAGTTTGGCTTCTGAGGTTGCCAGCGTAGTAGTTGATCGTCTCGTTGAGCTTTCTCTCTGCCCCTCGGTATCATTAGCCCGGCTCTTATATGCGGGCTTTATCTGACACGAAATCAGCCGCGAGTCAGAAATTCTCAGCTATCTTAGAATCACACCGATTATTCATCTTGAACGGAGTTCAGGACACGGAGTTTAGGACAATAAATCTGTTATTGAACGTTTTTTCAAACCATGCTACATATAGATATAATGAAGCATGCTTATAGATACTGAAAGGTAAGTAATGTCTTAAATGCCCAGAAAAGAAAATTTTGAGGTGGTACCCACTATTGGGTGCCATTGTCCCACGCGGCAGACACGATGGCACACTCGCCGCTCAACCTACACGGGAAAAAACGCTGGACGAATTTTTGGACGAGTCTCTCGCGCTCCATTTGAATTTGAGGCTCATTCCGTTCAGATCATTGTTGAACTAGTGTTCAATATCCTCTTTGAACCCAAATTCCACTAGATTCACAGTAGAAAAGAGTCCATGGCTCATTGTCAAGTCTATGAATTGGCATCAGAAGTTGAAGGGGTGGAAAAGGTTGACAATGTCGAGACAACTAGTATTTCATCCTGTCAACAGTTGCAAGGGTGAGCGGGCCACATTTTGGATTTGTTAACAAACATTCCATTCGTCTACCCTCACCACGGATGGTTGGTTTCCTGCCGATGATGACTTCGCCGTAAACCCAGCTGGCAGTAGCGATTCCCGTGCAAGAACCTTCATGAAGATAGCCACCGTCAACGTCCGAGGCCTGTGCTCTCAACAGCGACTTGCGGATTTCGGAGCCAATGTTAAGAATGTGAAATTTGCCGTGCTTGGACTGGCCGAAACACGACGACCAAACCGTGAGTGCACCTATCTTGGATCTGGTTTTGTGCTCTACAACAGTGGACGTTGTGACAAT